CAGGATTTGACTCAACATCCATGTGCGATAATCATTCAATAAGTTTACAAATTTTGCTATGTTGTTTTTTAAAACTATGCATAAATAGGCAAGCAAAGTGAAATGTAATAAGAAAAAATAGAAACGGTACATTTTATATCCGTATGCTTTGGCATAGAAAGTTCCGATTGCCACCCTGTGTGACCTATAATCATTACCCATTGTCAAAAATCAAGCATTTGTGTACAAATCTATCAGGGTGGCAAATCAGAGTTATTACAATGTAGTGTGCATAGATCCAGTGGTAGAAAATGAATAATACGTGAAAAACGATACAAAACATATACACAAATAAAATGATTAATATATCTTTTTGGTGCAACATGATATATAATATAACTGACCGTGGGGTAACTATGGTCAGAAACGTAGTTTTATATTAACGTAAGAGCCGGGATATATCATGTTTAGACATGACAACAGGTGGCGCTGTACAAAACGCACTGTACTCTAACAGACGCTCTCAACAACTACAGTGACCGGGTAACAGCTTCAGGTAAGAGCTTTTTATATATATATTTAAAAAAAAAAAAAAAAAAAAAACCCAGGGAATTTATATCTTTCGAATACACAGACTATATATTTTTTTTATATAAAACATCAGAATTTGTTTCACACGAGTTTAGGAGTACTGATAGGAAGTAGCGAGAAACATCCCACATAACAACCCATACAATACCCCGGCTCGTCTATTTTAAAATAAGTACAGTAAATGTTTTATTGTAACCTGCAAACAAACGTGCACCAGGGACGTATAGTGAAGGGGATTAGCAACTCCCTCTTTGCCTTTCCAATTTTATGACACGTCAATCTAGACTTACCTCCCCCTGATTCAGGAGTAGATAGCGAGCGCCACCTATCTCAATTTTGACAAACCAAGATGGCGTCGATACCGCTTCGTTAGATTAGTTGGCGTGAAAACAAACCAATCGCGATAAGTGTTCTTACGTCTTTTGTTTATCCAATTGTTATACGCTGATTGTATTACTTATAATTGATAAAATCTGTGGTATCATATTAATTGATGTCTCGTTTTTGGGGTATATTTTTCAATTTTTAAACGCGATGTAACGCGTGGTTCAGAGTATTGTGGTGGGCGTCGATAGACAAAAAAGCGGGATAAAAAAAACCACCACATGTATGTGAACCACCTCACTCCAAAAGTATTTGACCGATCTTTTTTAAATTAGCAGCAATAGAAAGCTGAATACTTTTTATAACGACCCAACCTATTTCAATTGCAAATAATATAATTTTACTTGTGTTATTTTTGTGTCAAAAAGAGTAAATATCAGCATTATTTTTCACTGGAACGTAAATCATTATTGCGAAAGTAGTTGGTGACTGCTCACTGTTTTGATTAAATTTTATAAACTATCGTTTATATTTTTTAAAACAATTAATATCAATAAACAGCTGAGTAATTTCTATGTTAAGTAGGCCTGATTTGATTTGCATTACTTGGAACTATAGCGATGTCACAGATGAAATTACTCGTCTGGTAACGAAGGACACGTGTTGTTGAAAACCGTAAACAAAAATGCGGGATAAAAAAAA